GACTCCAATGGTGTTTCCACTTCTGGAAGGATTCCACGGATTTTCTTTTTTGAGTGTGAAGAATGTTCTCCGTATTTGTCATCAAAGGGGTCAAATCGCTTTCCTTAAAGTGAAATTTCCAATTTAAGAAACAGGTAAAAGTCAGGAGCATAGGGAGGTTGCGGAAGTACAGGAATTTGAAATTTTGCCAAAAATTCTTTTGTTGAGACGGCACGTTGTCGTTGTCGTGGTGGAGAATCTAATTCTTTTCTCGCTAGAGATTGCAGACCTTTTCTTCCACACATTTTCGAGCAAACGCTCATGGACACTTTTATAATATTCCTAGTTAACTATTTGCCCACTAGAGCATAATCATGATGCATAATACTCTTCTACTGTGCTGGTTGTGCCATTGTTTCTGGGTCATACTTATAAATCTCGACCATATTAGGCAGTTCTTGGGTTGATTTCTTTCTGGTCGTCTGACAACAATTTCGGAGTGAATTTCGTAGACTATCGACACATCTTTAAGAAAAAACTAAAATTCAGTTCATCAGCAATTTCCCCAATTATTGTAAGTCTACGGTCAAAGCGCATTAAATCGCTAGTTTTCGCGATGTTTTCTTTGGTTATTGAAATTGAAGATCTGCCACACCAGGGACCACCATTGACTGATTCGTGACCATTTTTAAACCCATTAAATCAGATAAAAACGTTTGATCGGCTTATCATCGAATGCTGTTTTCAAGAGTTTGGTTGTTCCGTTTTTTCATTTCATTTTCGAAATGATAAACCGCCGGGAACCGGAAACACGTCTTCACTTACCAGATTGTCGTTCAAATACTTTGTGGTGATACTTTTAGAACAATAATTCAAGGATAAAACAAACTTTTATTTTCACATGCGCTCACATCTTCATGTCTCCTCGTACTGAACAGTAGCGACTTCTGTCACACAACTGCCCAATCACATTGCATATAGACGTGGAATGAGTATTCGCAAGATATGGCAGATGTTTATGAATGGTCGTTGCATGGTCTATCGTAATTTTTAACAGATGAGACAATTGCAATGCGGATTGTATGTCTGGTGGCTCACCTATGTTATACTGATGAGGATCACTAACACCGAAACCGGTTGTCTGCTGGGTTCAGCTGACGAATAATTTTAGCTATTTTAACTAAGTATTACCTGTCAGGGTAGTACGAGGTACAGAAAATAACCGAACTTTACTTTTTAAACTTTATTATTAATTTTATACATTATTGGTCCTTGTCTCCTTTACAGTACTCCCCTCCCATTTCTCACACTTGGTGTTTAAAGTCTAGAACGAATTTGTTTTGATGTCATCAATAGTCTAAAAATGGGATCCCTCTAGCACTGATTTTAATTTCGGAAATAATAAAAATACCAAGGAGTCAGGTCTGGCGAGTAAGGAGGGTAAGGGAGAACAGTAATATGATTTTTGGCACAAAACTGATGAATTGACAAAGCTGTGTGTGGACGCATTGTCATGATGCAAGAACCATGAGTTGTTTCGCCACAACTTTGGTCTCTTTTTGCGGATTATTTCACGTAACCGTAGTAAAACGAATAGTACACGGTTCACTGTTTCACCTTGAGGCAAGAATTCAAAATCACAATTCCATTAAATTCGAAAAATATCGTTCAGCGATTTGCACACAACAGATCTTTGACTTTCTAAATGTGGGAGTCGTCAGTTGAAATCGAAGATCTTCCTGGTCGAGGAACATCTTCAATTCACTGGCAACCATTTTTAAATCGTGAAAACCATTTGTAACATTGCGTTCGATCCAGAGGATCATCTTCTAAGATTGTTTCAAAAGTTGAAACATTTCCGTGAAATTTTTACCCAGTTTACGCAAATTTTTTACGTTGCATCGTTATTCCAGAAAATTCCACATTTAAAAAATCGTCACCAACACGTTACATTTAAATAACAATACCACGAAAACTAAATGAGATATCAACAATTCAAGAACATGTATTTCGTTACAGAGGAGATTATGCGCAATGCTTCCAACCGTATATCATTAAATATCTGCATTACCCCGTAATTCAAAAAGTTCGGTTATTTCCTAAACAGATCTCGTATTCCGCAATACCGTTAATTAAATTAATTAATTAAATTTGTTCTCTTATTTGACGATATGTCGTGCTTTCAAAGTACCTGCAATATTGCAGAGTGCTCCATTCTGATGTGACTGTATTGACAATCTAGGCATTGGACAAACAGTGACCATACATAACATTCACTGTTTTATTTTTAAAATTAATGGAAACAATGTGAATTGTAATTTTGTTCCCAAAATTAAAATGCTACATTTTTATGCATCTGTCAATTTTTTATCGCGTTTCAAACCGGAACTAAGAACAATTATTATTTTATATAATATTCAGTAGTAATCATTTTCATTAAACTTGCGAAGAGTTTCCACCCAGGCACGCATGAACAATTTTAAACACCCACATCACAATTAACTTCAAGAACGTATTACTAGAATCGAAAAAAATCTTTGATGCTATCAGTATCACTAAATTTTGTGAAGCAAAATTTAATATCTGTGCACTATTTACATATTGACTAATCTACAATTTGTTGGAGGAAAGCTGAAACATGTTATTAGTTATAGAGGTTGATATAGAGACAGCGTTGCATATGTTTATAAATAAAACTAGGCGATCCCTCTGTACATAGGGGGTGTTTCCTTAATTATCTAAAATACTGGAGGAAATCAGAGACCTTTGGCCTAAGATACAAGATGAAAACTTAAATTTTTAACGTCACTTAGATAAGTCGATTTCTTTGTCTTAAATATTGCTTTATGTTTCAATAAACAGTAATTTTTACTGACGTTATAGTTTCTTTGCACATAGGGGCATGTTACATAATAGTATTTACGTGTTCTTAACTTTTCGAGAGTTTGGATAAAAAAATGTCTCAAAATTTGTTCATTTGAGGCTTAGTGGAAGACACGGTTTTATAAATAATGTATGGAAAATCTGCCAGTAGCATGTATACGTATCTGTTTTCAAATACTTGAGTTATATTAAATCTAATGTTAAAATAAATGTTAATTAATAAATCGATTATACACTTTTATTAACAAAAATTTATAGGAAGTGAACAGACTGTATGTGAACGCTTCAAACATTCATATCTGAATAATCCTATCTTATGCCTCTTCACCGGGTGTCGCTCGAACGCTTGATCTCCGTTTGTTTTGGTTATCCGGCGTTTGTTTACAAAACGCCGATATACAGAGTGCCTCGAGTTCGCCCTGTCTGGAGATGAATATTCCTTAACACTAACTAGTGATATTGTGGGCACAGCTACTCTGCGGCTCAGCATTGAAATACACCTCCAATATCTAGTAAACATATAAGATTTGTAACCTGAGGGGTTATTTCTTTAATTATCTACTTTTATTAATTATCTATTAATTCTCGAAAGAGTTACTATTTAATTCTCGAAAGAGTTACTATTTAATTCTCGAAAGAATGACTACTTAATTCTCGAAAGGGAGTTTATTTAGTTATCGTTATACTTTAATTAACACGTGGGAACTTAGAAATGTTGTATGTTCAGAAAATTACTTCCAAGCACTTACCCTTTCATTGCTTACGTGGGATGTAATCCAGTGGCTGGCTATACAGGGTAGCACTGAAGTTGGAGAAACAAAGGAAATACAAAACATCCAGGAAGGGTTTTATTAACAATAAACAAAACAAACAAACAAAATAAAAACACAACAGTTCGACGACATTATTAATTAATTGATTCAATCGCGACAGCGTACCGAGATTCAAAACTATCAAAATTAATTAATTAGCCCGAGACTTTAAAGTTAATAATTAGTCTGCTCAATGTGAAACTTAAAAACGAACTGACTTTTTCGAGATCCTTCCTGAATTCCACAATTCGCTTTGACCACGCCCATTTCTTGGGTCCAGAAGTTTCGGTTCTCATCTTATTGGCGAGAACCCTGAATGTCGGCATGCTTTAATAATTAGGTTAATAATTATTTATGGCTTGACTTTACATTTATATAAGAATAATTATATGATTTACTAGTAACCCTAACCTTCCCCTATGACTCCGCGTAGCAATTACGGGACGGATTAGTCGATCTCATTTAATCTACTCTTATAGCTAGGAAAAATCCGTCAAAAAAACCCAGCTGCTTAGGTATACTTTATTTTCGAACTACTATCAATTTTACAACATAATTTAATTCTAAGGTGGAATTTCTATGGTCTTTCTCGCGGTTTCGTGCGTTATTAAAAAGATGGGGTTCTACGCGGCGTCTCCCAGACGCACCAGATGACTACCATATGGCCCTGACTCTAAGCGAAACTTGTTACAAATATTGATAATTTTCTCCGAAGGACTGTCTTGGCGACCTACTACTTGAAAACCATTAACCCTCCGATAATTTATGATGACTGAAATATCTTACTTTCCGAGAACTAATAAATAAATGACTGCGCGTCCCGGCTTTTGTTACAGATTATTCGTAAGCATGACCAGGAACAAACAACTTCGAACTTCTTATTTCTCAACTAAACAGTATGTATCGATGCGACGATATGATATACTTTGGGGGTTATATCTATAAAAAGTAAATGAGCAAATTAAAAAAAAATCATATCTCACTCACATTTATTAAATTTACTTTTAAATCAATTAAAAATAGAAATCTAAATTCGACATTGTATCTAAGTGATCTTTAAATTCATGACAGGCTAATAGTTTGTGACAGAAGTTCAGATAATCGATTTCTTAATTTAGGTAATGTGTTACATTTTCAGAAAGTACAATATCTTAGCTCTGCTGTTAAATATACATAAGTTTTGTATTCTGAATCAGATGTAATTTTATGTTAACTGTAAATATATCACCTCTGAAAATAATTTTCCCTGACATGTCTCCAAATCCAATGCTGCAGAATAGAGAGCAATTCATCATGATTGACGATTTTTTTGCAGATCCACAGGAAACTTCGAGGAAGTATCCTGTCATGGTTTATATTCATGGGGAATCCTTCGAGTGGAATTCTGGAAACCCTTACGACGGCAGCGTCCTCGCTGCATACGGAAAAGTTATCGTAGTTACTCTAAATTTTAGACTTGGAATCTTGGGTGAGTTATTTCAAAATTACTTTATAGTATTAAGCACATTGCATATTAACATCTAGGTATTAGGAAACAGATTTTATTAAGATATACATTGAATCTGAAATGATTACTTATGTCAATCAAGTGTTTGTGGAGACCAATATGTGGACTTTTTTTTATAAATTAATTAAGTTTTAAATGGAAAGACACACGATTTGATGCCAAACATGATATGCAAAAGAAACAAATGTATATGGAATCAAAATAGGCCTTAATTAATGATGACGATAATAATGATAATTATGATGATGATGATGAGGATGATGATGATGATGATGATGATGATGATGATGATGATGATAAAAGTTCAAAAAATTTATTACAAATAATCTGTAATTACTTTAAAAAATGCAGAAGTATAAACATATTAAACATTACACGGCACTATTTTGTTAAATCTGAAAAAAATCACTGAACTAGAAAATTTGTCCATATATTGTTTTTTTTTGCAAACTCAGGTAGTTTTCCTAATTGTAAATCTAAAAATTATCTCGTCTTTTCTTCTACTCAGTTAAAGAACACACTTCTAAGGTATGCTTGAAGTATTTATACCAATTTTTAAAAGCATTTTTGAAGGGAAATGCGTCGATATAGGGTTTGGCGTACTTTACTTTGCAGATTCGGACTGTATAATAGTTCCTTTTATTTCTTTCTATAGAAAATATATATATTTATTATTAACGATCGTGTGTTAAGTTTATTTTAAAGGTAAAGCTAATTTAAATAAGTTCAAACATTTTTTTCTAAAAACATATTAAATGAAGTCAAACAATGTTTTCGATACCAAAAATCTAGGTATGCAAAAGATATCAAACCTCATAGAAAGATTCTTAACTGATGACATTGCTTTTTACTCTATTATGAAAATATTATGCTAACTCAAACAAATTCGAAAAAATCAAATGAAATCCTGTCAAACGAAGTCAAACAGTCCTCTTTCATATCAAAGATGCAAATGATGTCTAACTTCACATACCAGATTCCTAATCGTTAGTATTGCAGGCAACACCTACTCTAATCGCTACATGCCCCAACTAATATTAAATTACACCAGCAATATAAAGTAAATCAACAATTATACAAAATAAAAATAAATAGCTATTTGTCGAAATATTATTAATATAAAAACATACCCTAAATAGATTTAGTACCTAGTTTTACGTGATGGTCATTGTCAAGAGTGATGTTAGAATAACCAATCTTTCTTTGATAGATTGCATTACTTAACAATTTCACTGTCAGGTGAGGTACTATAATAATATTTAGACATTTTATTTTGATCGTTTATTAATAATCATTTTAAATTTACTTATTTTTGAATATAGGTATTACTAAGGGAAAGGTCCCTATAATTGGACCACTTAAGAAATACTGTAAAGAAATACGTCAAGAATTAAACGAATATAATTGGATATAATAATGGCATTATTATAAAAGCACTATTCTTATAAAACTTTCTAAATAATTATTTAACCGACTGGAAAGTTCAAGGGCCCCATTTTTGCACAAAACAATAAATCCACTTTTCTCCCTTCCTTATAAAAGGAATATAAACAAATAAGACACAGACCTCTTCACACTCCGATTTTGATCCACTTGACGAATCTTGTCGTAAAGTTCGTTTTTCCTGAGGCATTTTTTTTTTCGACATATTGATTTGCCTCTAAGGATTGGTATTGAAGAAGCAAATATATTTTTGACCGTTTTAGGAGAGACAGTTTTTTTTTCTATATTATTCTTGTAGGTACTACTAGTTATTACTAAAGAAGATACAGAAGCAGTTTTGCGCGATTTTCTCTTCAAAACTAACAAGAAATATCTTCTTTTTTTTTTGGTGATGATTTTCAGTATTCTGCTTATGTTGATACTTCAGTTACAGTAACAGTTGAGTTACGTATTTGTATTTGAAGCTGAGAGACCAACACCACGCTAACATTTGCAGCAGGAAATATCTTGTCTTTCTCTCCTCTCGTTCATTTACTGAAGCATCGGATAAGCTCATAAATCGACTGTCATTTTCTGCTCTTGGAACATTATATCCTCTAGCTATTGTATCTTTCCCACGTTTTAATTCCCACAGCTTCCGCACTGTGAAATATCCACCGTATATAAAAAAGAGGAGCTTCATTAAGACCAATTCAATTTAAGAACTAAATATGCAAAAGAGATTATAACCTTAGCTGAACTATCAACTCTTATAAAGTTGGTGTTGCAAATACTAATTAATTTTTTTTTATAAAATACTAGCTAATAACTTGCACAAAATTTACATTTATTTAGAAAATAAATAGGTACACCAGGGAAAAAGTTGAAGCTTACAAAGGCTAAAATACCAAAATTACATCAACCGCCACAGAAACATAAAACATGTACCTAATTCTGTTAACTTCACAGATCTGTCTATGTGCACTTACCGAACAATATGTAAGATATAATTAACTATCAACACAAGTTGCTAATATCAATTTATATAAAAATAAAACCCATGGCCCAATTTAAAATTCATTAATACAAAAAACTATATACTTTAAGTTTCAAACATAGGTACTCGAAATTAATTGTTTGTATGAACTACCAAACATTATAGATCCTTATCTAAAGCAATTATTCTATTCATTAAACTTCGCAATAGCGAAATTGCATAAGGTCCTTGAAACACCAAATGCCAAAAACGTTAGTATGGCCTCGATGGATCGATGGGGTCAAAACCGGTTTTTGTTAATGTTGAGGTTTATTAGGCAGTCTATTATGAACAACACGAACAAGCATTAATCAGTACACAATAGCAATAAGTAGAATAGCAGCTTGCATGTAAATGCAGACATAAAATTAACATGAGGCCACACAACTTCTTGCATCATGTAAAATAATTATCATGAGTGTTCCCTTTGTAAAGAACTTTAACAGTTACCTTAATGAATGAAACTATTAATTTTTGATATATTGTGCGAAAATAATCAGTGAAGAGATTTCTTTATCAAAAATCTCGAACCAAATATACAGGGTGTCCCAGAATAACGTGTACAACGGAAGACCACAGAGTCGTGGAACTTTTTGAATTTTGTAAATAACTCGAATACGTATTATTCGATTTTGATTATTTTTATTTATTTATGTTCTCAACAAGGAAAAAAACATCATAAAATGAGGCGCAGTACTCGCAACCTTGACTGAGAATGATTTTCAGTGAATGTATGATGTGGTATTTTTGGTGACAAATTACTCGGTTCGATAGTGCACGTTTAAATAGTTTATTTTAACAAACGCCTTACCGTATTTGTTGGAAGACGTCTCTTTACAAATCTAAATGCCCAAATGTATTTCATGCATAATGGTGCGCTATGATTCTCGTGCAGTCTGTGTATTTTTACATATTAAATTTCCGAAAAGGTGGATAAGGCGACATAGCGTTGGCCAGCACGAAGTCCGGGTAGGAACCCTCTGTATTTATTTGTTTGGGGGTGTATGAAACAAAATGTGTACCGAACGCCTATTGTCTATGCAGCAGATCTTCCACAGCGTATTTTTACTGTAGCTAATGAAATTCGACAAATTCCGGGAGTATTTGCATATTTATATTTTGACCGTCGTTTGTTATATGTTTATTAGCACCTGGAAACAACTTTGATCAATTTTTGAAGAGCATATTGTTTATTAGTTTAATTTTTGTGTTACGTTTAAACGAGACTTGAATAAATTTCAGGATTTTCGGAAGCAAAATTTAAACCGTCAAAACCGCCATCAGCGCTTTTCCACTGCGGCACACGGCAACTTCGATATCAAAGGTACAGCTGGCTGCCGCACCAGGGACGGTTTCAAATTTGGTTAAACCTTCATCTGAATTTTTTTCTTCAATTTAAAGTGTACTTAATGTTTTAGACCATCAGTTTGATAAAAGTTGCTCATTTCCGTGCCCTCTATCGCCATTTTCAAGGAAAGCACTAATTTTAGAAACACCCTGTATTGAAGCCAATGGAAGCAATTTTGAACATTCGTTGTAAATGTTTTTATTTTAATTTATTACATATTTTCTAATAATTTTTATTGAGTTAATCATAGTTATTATTCGTTTAGTTGTGTAGATTCAAACGTTTATGCAGTAAAGTATTACACTGATAAAATATCACCAAAAATTGGCATTTTCCACATCGGGAGCGTCTATGATTAACTGATCTACATTTTCTATCACAAATTTGCTAATAAAAAAATGTATCTTGTGAAATTTTATTACGTACTATTAATTTTAAGTAGAAAAGAGATATTTTTGGTCTTGAGAATTTATTTTCATATTTGGAGAGTGAACATAGATATGAATTAATTTAATTCCTGGTACGCTTCCTAAAGTCCTACTGGTGCAATGAATGTGCGTGTCAAATACATTGCATACGAATAAAGTAATAAACAGTCGCTGCATTGTATGCTGCAGACATAGAAATTTTAAATAGATAATTTGCAAAAACTGTGGAATATCATAAAATTCATGTAAGAATTACAGCGCACATATTATATTTCAGGCTGAAGTAGGTATGTAGGTGCAAAGATGCACTGTTAGTGACGATCACGCCTCGTAAGTACACAAAAAGCCCTAGATGTGCATCATTAAATCCGGAACAACGTAGCAACCAGCGTCACTCGTTTTATTTCCTCGTCAGTGGAATGGAGAGTAGAAATTTTGTGCCTCGCCGAGTTAAATTACCCAGACATTACTTCAAAATAAACAAACACATCGTAACTTTTAAGTTTGTAGTGCATCCGCACAGGGCTATTGAGCCGCTATTTGAAAGAGACTGGATAACAAAGAAAATAATTCAGTTAGTTAAGAATGAATTCATTTGGAGAATTGTACGGAAAAAGAAAAAAGTCATGGTAGAAATTAAGATTGCGTCAGCGGTTTTAATCCTTACAATCGAGAACGACTTCCTCATATATTTCTTTTAGTGAGTTAGTTCAAAATAAAAGAAATT